TGTCCCAGTGACAAGACGAGCAGCGATGTTCATCAATAGCTGCAGCTTTCTAATTGATGTTAATGGTATTCCGTAAAGGACTCCATTACAATAATCCAATCTTGATGTAACCAATGCATGTACAAGTATATATATATATATATTTAGCAGGTGTCTGTGCTTTGAATTTTTTTCAATATTTTAAATGATGTATGCATTAAAAAAAAAAAACACAGCAAAGCTATACCTGCATCTTCAATGATGACCCCGTGATTTGAAATCTTGTCAGCCATGTTGGATTCTAGTAAGCATGCAAGATCATTTTGAGTGCAGGGTTTACCCTCCAAAGTACTGACTGCTTCTGTTGTTTCTCGACAATCAATCTAAAAATTCAGAAATATAAATACAAATTTAAATTAAGAAACTTTGATATTTAAGACAAAAAAAAAACCAAAAAAAAAACCAGGATGTATAAAAATGTTCAGCAGTAGTTGGTGGAACAGACAGTGATGGTCCAAGGGAAAATCCTTTGTGGATGTTGTGGCTAAGCCCTATAGTGCCTGAAGAAAGTAGGAATTTGGGGTCATTTAAGCTGCTTGGAGAAGCTTTAAATATATATCATGCCTAAGCAAATTGAGTATATAAAATACTCACACAATATTTAATAAACAACAAAAATTACAAAAAGCAAATCAAAAAACACCTTAGTCTTGCCAAAGTGGGAAAATGAATATGGGATAAGAACATTTAAATATCGTTCCGTAAAACTTTCAAATGAACTTTTTTTAAGGTATTTGTAGCAACATTTATTCTTTTAAAAACAATTGATCAAAGATTGAAGTATGTTATTTATAGACACAATGTACACTTAAACCAGCCTAGAAAATGCAAAAAAAAAAATTGTGTAATTCAATAAGCTTAACAATATCAAATGTTTAATAAATAAATAAACAATATGTATTCTGTTCTAAATAAAATTAATGTAAAATATGAAAGAATAAAGAATGAAGGAATCTGAACAAAAATGAAATTCAGTGCGGCATATAATTGTATACTGAAAGTATACAATAATGATAATAACTCATTATTATACTTTGGGATTTTTTATTACACTTTGGGCATTAATCATCAGGTCAAGGTGCCAAGCCTATCATGTTTCATAATCCTAGATAGTACTATGATAGCTTACGTTTCATGGAATAGTGTTTGATATCCAGTCTTGAGCTTGTAGACTCATTACCTTTCAGAAATTGGAATAAAAATTTCCCATAAAAATAATATTTACCTGAATTTGAGCCTTCTGCTGGAGAATATCGTAATCTGGGCCGGCGATCAGAGCTTGACAGGAAGCATGTAGCCGATCACAACGACCAATCATATCACTCAACTGCCTATAGAAAAACAAATGTAATGATATAATTGGATGATACCCGCTGTTTCGATAATATTGTCTGTAATTCTGGTACATTCATTTGTCCAGTAATAAATCATAAGTGACCAATATTCATCCTTTCTAACCACAGCCTTACATGTGTCAACGTTCCTATGCATGATACATGACAGAAAATATAAGGTTGGGTAAAATTTGTGTGGTGGTTTTAGACCACATTGGTAATGTCTTTTGATAGGCAAATGACAGTATGTTTAGCACACCAACAAGGTACTTAAACATTTTGTAGAATTAAAAAAAAAAAAAAATTGAAAACATTTCATAGGCCTAAGTGTATAGTATTATCATTTTAAAGTAGTTTGGAACGCTATCATGGGTGGGAGGGGGGCTGGCTGGCAGTGGCTACTAGACTATATTATATTTAAAAAAATCTTGGGCCCAATCGTCCACAACAGTTGGGTCCAATCGTCTGTCACCCGAAGATGATCAAGAAAGTACTTTACACGATCTAGCTGAGGCCCTGGCCGACGCCATTCTATGAAGAATGCAACGTGACAATGTGCACGCAACGGATTGTTTTTAATGATCCGTTCAGACTGTCGACGACAATCAGCAGACGACGTCGCATCGTCTAGTGCTCACAAGGAGCGGAGTTGATTCGTCGTGTGGCGATCTACCCAGTTGTATCAGTGATTATCAGCAAATTGCTTTGAGTAACCTGCAATGGACTATTGTCCTGAGGGGGTGGGGAACATCACAGTCTCATCCGTTTCAAGTTACTTGAAACTGGGATAAACTCCAGCTTATTATTTTCACCATTTTTATTTATTATTTTTAAAGTTTGGGTGTGGGGGTATGATCAGCTGTGTTCTCTGGAATCTGTCCCAGTTATATACGATAAGCATAAGTTAACACTAGGTCATTAAACTACTTTTGTTTCCCTGCTAAAATCACCAGTGGCCCAAACTCTACCTATGATTACTAGTTCTGAGTAACTCTGCTCTAAAAACATAATAAGTATCAAAGAGTGTAAATAGAACAAGAGGGCGTACTCCCTTTGTAAATACATCACTCCCTTAGTTATGATGTGCGAGTTCAAATGTAGTGCACCCGCTTTGATGGTATGAAGATAAAGAAAAATATAAAATCTTCCGTCCCCACGAAATATTTGTATCATGTCGAAAACTGATAAACAGATAATTAGCGGAGCAGTATTGGGTAATCCATTGGCAGCGGGTGTCCTACACCGGCTATGTAGGGCTTATCGTATGTTTACGCTCTCAATGAGCATAGTTGGCTTTCTTTGTTCTATTTATACTCTTTTTTCTTTTTATCCTCACTTTTTCTGTTTTTCTAGGATCTTGACTTTACCCGTTGAAAGATTCTTTAATTTGCCTTTCACCTGGTTTTCTCGTCTGTACAGTTTTCTCCGTAACATCTCAAAGTGGTGAGTTATCTCTCGCATTGACTTCTCTTCCTAAAGATATAAAATTTATAAGATTTGTTTTGTTTATTATTATAACATAGCAGCTCCTTAAAAAAAAAAAACTATATAATATATATGCCAACATTTGGTACTGATTTGTGCCACAGAAAAAAAAATCCAACACAGGAATTACTCTATTTGTTTTAAAATGTGTTTTAAACAAAAATCTTAAATTTTATATATCCAAAACACTACACTTTGTTGTGAGAAACAATTTGATGCTTATTGGCAAGAGCTTTCACCGTTATTCTCCTCGTAGCAAAAATGTCGTTCAGTTGGTCATTTAGGTTGAAATTACCTTGAATCTGATGGCAGCAATCGTGTCATGGATGGATTTCTTACTCACGGTCACCTTCTCGCGTTCCTTCATAATTTCCTCGGCCAACTGCTTGAGAACCTACAAAAGTTAATTTTGAATTGAGGTTAAAGAATGTTAGCATGCCGTGTACAAGTATTTCAGAGCATTTTTAACTATAGAGGATAAGATCATTACTATTGGGTAGCAGTGTTAGTTTGAACTTTAACAATAAAAAAAACTAATAAGATTAACAAATATTTTATTTAAATATTGTGGTCAATCAAATATTTGTTAGTATTAATAGTTCTGCCTGTCTGTTTACTGCATGAGAGGATGAAGAAATAACAGAGTCGTCTGTTTACTGCATGAGAGGATGAAGAAATAACAGTATTTTAATGTTTTTTAGATAATTTTGATTTTTTTTTTATGAGTTCACTTCTATTCAGCTTCCCAGCTATTTGTTTATGTTTCTCTGGACACTTTTAACCCTATCCATTGCAAAACAAACTGTTAAAATCGCCTCTTAACTAGCATTCATTTTATTGTTCATTAATACAGTTTTTCTGCATTCCTGTGGTTAAAGGATATTGTTATTTTATATTTTCAGCAAGTGCTAAGTTAGACCTCTGCAGACATGTGCTATGCCAGCTTACATATTAAAATGGAGACAACATTAGGAGACAACATTTGGTACATAAAACTGATCAAACATCAGTATAACTATACAAAAACGATTTAGAAATATTCTGGATTTTTGAGATCATAATTCCCAGTAGTCTGCATATTGTATTATACGATAAAGCTTGTGTTTTATTACACCTTTAATTTAAATTGCAAGCTAAGTAATATGTTAAATGCATTAATGTAGAAACATTAAAGGGGCAGGAACATAATTGCATATAAAATAAAAATCATTTCATGGTCTAGGAACATTGTAATGTGTGTCACTTAACACACTATATGCAGACACTGCAATTATAGATACGATGGGACCACAAATTACAGCAACTTGATATAGTGTCTGTAATGCCAATGTTTAACCGAGTAATTCCAAAGGGTACATTATTGCTAGCATGTTTGATGGTCTATTGACAGACAGTAAACATTGCTTCTAAATAGGGAGCTTTCCATTGCACGACGACGGTAGGACGTAGAACATAATGACGTCACTAAAAGTCATCTGCGCATGCAGGAACGCCAAGTTCTCATCATCAAGTAGATTATAGAATGCAGTACAGTAGATCAGTCACGCATGAGTGATTTCGTTCTAGTGTCATGTCGTCGAACAAATCGATACCATAGAGTTCAGCAATGCTGGGAAATGCACAGTGTATAGACAGACCAAGATTGGTATCAGGTGCTGTATGTTATTACGATAATGTTGTTGAATCTACGATCTTTAAGACTTCTAAGGACTTTTAAAGTGGAACGTTGTTTCTAACGTGTTTGTGATGGATTTCTTTATATTTTAATATACAGACACAAATCCCAAACCATCACTTATCCAGCAGGATTACAGTGGTATTATGCAGTAAACACATCGTACATTTAAAAACACATTTACATTTAAGTAGGAACACATTATGGAAAAATAAATCCCAAAATGTACTTTAAATGTACTCTATAAAATTTGACCATGTTATGGTTGTTGAAAATATGAATATCTTATGCTTTCTATCTGTGTTATTGGCTGTTCAAAGCCCTGGTTCTCAACCTCTTTCAGAATGGTGGGGTATATTTTTACTGTAAGTTGCTCAAATTGTCATGGTTACACAGATGGCTAGTTGTGAAATGTTTAGAACAAGCAGTGGCGGATCCAGGAATTCAAATATAATGGGGCCCGGGAAGGGACTTTCACAGAGAGAGGGTGTAGATACCTCTAAAAAAATTCATGATTATGGCACCTCTATATGTCCTCTGCCCCTTCATAATTAGGGCTGATGTGTGACAATTTTAAGGACGGCCCTGAAATATCAGAAATGGCCATCTTTACAAACTTTATAAAAACTGTTCTTTTGTCTAAAACTGAACTCCAAACATCATCAGGCGACCATCATAGGAAGTCATGTGATGGTCCACAATGAATTAAGTGGTCTTGTGACCATCACATAAGTTGCCATTTGACCATCAAAGGGAAATCATGTATCATAGCAAAAGATGATGTGACAATCACAGTCATCTTTTGACCATCACAAGGAAGTCATTATATGGCATCATGATGGCATTAATTACATAGCATTATCAAATCATCAAAGAAAGTATTTATGTGACCATCACATGTTAACAAGTAATCACTGTAGGCAAATCATCAAGTCACCATGGGACCATCACATAACATTGCCATGTGACTATCACAATAAGTTGTCATGTGACAATCACATGAAGTTATCATGTAACAATCACACTAAGTTTTGTAACCATTACATTAAGTTGTCATGTGACCATCACATTAAGTTGTCATACGATACATAAATATTGTAAATGTGTAAAATACAAATACAAAAATATATACCAATAATACTGTAGTACTATTAATGATAATAGTACTAAAAATTTTAATAATATATTAAAAAACAAAAATTTCTCCAAATTACTTGATATAGTAATTTTATAAGTAATATTCTTAAGTAGACAAAATGATTAATATTGAAAAAATTTATTCTCAATTTCATTTTGTTGTTGAGCTTTAAATATCCTCATCATGTTTAAGCTCACACTAGCATACCATTTAGGCTGATGGGTTGTCAAACTTAAAACATGCTCAGCGTCGTAAGCAATGTATATTTTCAACTTAATTGATGGGATTAATGAGGAGTGTCGCATTAGAGCCGTCACAGAGTAATTACTTGCCAGGAATAGATAAAACGGTACTTAATAGGAATTGTTGCAGTGTAGAGAGGTAGTTTTATTCGCCACCCACGTAAACAGTGTAAAGTAAAATTGAGTTGTAAAATGACCTTCAAAGAGCATGACATAGGCACATGAAAAAAATAATTACGAAATGTGTAGGCTGCTGGCACCGAAATCTCTAATGATTACTGCCTAAAAAGTTTACAAAAACGTAATACAATAACAACATATGATTATTATTGTAGATTTTCGGTATATATTTCAGCCATTCTAATTTTCCTTCCTATTTTTCCTTCTTTCTGTTCTTTTTATTATATTGCATATTATTGATAATATACTAAAATTAATAAACCTACTCTAGGATCTGAAATACTAAAACCTAGGCCTGGGACTTTTATATTACATTGTGTGCATTGTATACTCATTTTAGCTGGTCTCGTGCCAATCTAGGCCATTTTAGGTAGGCTTTCTTCATAAAGGTTTCTATGAATGGATGTCTAGTTATGGAGCAGAAAATCATGTTTTCCCTCCCCAGTACCGTCTGATTATAAATCGACGGGAAGTCAACCAATAGAAGGAAAGCTCATTTAGTATTACTAACAAAGTTATAAACATTTGAGCTCAGTCAGCTAAACTGGTGGTAGCCACTGTGTGAGTGCTGAACCGTGGAGATCAATTGTAAGCTTTCAGTACTCAATTCAAATCTATCTGCTGTTCTCCTTGTGTTTCAGCTGGAGAGCTGAAATATAAGTATAAAAATTCAGCCTTTCAGATGAGATGTTGGTCCCATGAGCAGTTAGCTCAGTCGGCTAAACTGGTGGTAGCCACTGTTTGTGGGTGTGTGTGGGTGTGTGTGTGTGTGTGTGTGTGTCGAACCATGGAGATCTCTTGTTCCTGTTGCGATTCCCATCTCTGCTCCTTGTGTTTCAGATGGTGGGCTGAAATTCAACTTTCAAAAGAATACTGTCTTTCGGATGAGAAGTTTTAAGCCATTGGTCCTGTGTGCAAAAAGGCTCATTTACACGTGAAAGAAAGCAGTACAATCTTCGGAAAAGAGTAGGTGATTGTCTGCTGATGTACTGCACAATTCGCCACCAGAAGGACCTCACTGGTAGTAAGTCTCAGGACTTTCGTGGGTTATTCTTGGTGTGTATCACTCCAAAGAAATCCAATCTGTGCAATATTGAAATGTGCACGTTAAAAAAACGCAACACATTCATAGGACTAAAGAAGGGGATTTTCTCGTCGTATACGGCTCAATCCCGACCAATAGGAGACTTCTGGAAATAAGGCTTTGGACTTTCATTGGTTTTCCTCGGTGGTGTTCACATCAAATAAATCCAATTCAATGGCAATGTCGAATTTGTTTTGCATTAAGCTATACTTTATTGCAGACAAGAATAAACTTGCACTCTTATCCATTAAATGACTTCAACAGGGAGAAGCAATAAAATGATAAGCGTGATTAAAGAGCGTGGAGAACACACAACCAGGGATTATTTAGACAGACAGAAACAGGTGCTACACTTTACAATGCGATTTGAGCACACTGTTTTAGATTGAAGTAGGATAGTGGGCAATATAACGTAATTGTATATTTGTATTTTAGTACTTTCTATATTTTAATTAATACATCTATCTATTGGTTGAAATGGCAACTTTTTTAAATGTAATTCTTTACATGGACTATATATATATATATTCAGTGCCAGATCCATGAATAAAAAAATAGAGAAGGCCCAGGGAGGGACATTTACAGATATGGGCCCAATTGCCAACTGCACTGCAGCATGGTTGGAGTGGAGGCGAGAATGTTATAGTTATGGCACTTCTAGATTGCAGGAAATGTATGCTTAGGCTTTAATATAAATGCAATTTCTATTTTTCTTCATTTTCAAAAATTTGTGTAATAAATGTTAAGCTTATATATTTGATATTTTTATTTGTATGGATCTCAGTATAATAAAAACAAAATGTTATATACCATAGTTTCTCTGGCTTAAACTCCATTTATTCAAGAACAACAAGTAGTATGGAGCGCCGTAAGCGCAGAAATCTGGGACTATGCATATATAACATATCCTCCCCTCCATTTAAAGAAATAAAATTTTGTAACAAGGCTTGTCTTGAAAGTAAGTTGCATTACATACTGGTTAGATTAGATTAGACTTTCAGTTACCAATCTGGTGTAGTTACAATTAAAGTTCAATCATCAGTATTGTACAGTAATTAGCAGTTATGAATTAAAGTTCGGTTGTACAGTTAACTCTGAATAAAATGAACACCTCGGGTACAATTGTCAACCCCATACTTTACACCCATTTTTATGTACCAGCCTTTCCTCAGGCGAAAGCCCAGGGCATGATTTTTTCTGCTTAGCTGACTTTTAAAAATACTCTTAATAACATCAAACATTTGCTTTGAATAAGGATGTGGTGCTGAAAATTGCCTTTTGATTGAAAAGGGGGATTCCATGGGTATAAATCCCCTCCCCAGCCAATTTTTGCTTTCAAAGGAGGCGGGCCTATACCAGATGAAATACAGCATACTGTTTTACACTTGCACTGTTTTTGATAAATGCAAGGTCAGATCCTCTTTGTCAATAGAAAACTTGCATATTTTAAGTCCTGTCCAGACTATCATATCTTATTAGACAAAAACATGTGATATGCCTAAATATGGTCATGATGACATCATATCATGACCATATATAGCCATATCATGACCATATATAGCCATATCATGACCATATATAGCCATATCATGACCATATATAGCCATATCATGACCATATATAGGCATATCATGACCATATATAGGCATATCATGACTATATATGGGCATACAACAGTTTTTTATCTAAAGAAAATTTGATAGTGTGGACAGAGCATTATTTTCTCACCTGTCTGCCCTCTTCCGCTGCCGTGCTGATAAGTTGGCACTCGTGCCCTTCATGGTCCCCATACACCTGGCAGTATATGCAAATTATCTCATTGTCAGTCAGACAGTACACCTTCTTTGGTTCTCGTTCATGAATATTGCATACTAGTATCTACAAAAAACAATTATTAATTAATCATTATTTATTAAAATTAAGAAACTTTATAGTAGAAGACCTCCAATTTTGACCTCCAACATTGAAGTTTCCTATAAAACAAAGCAATAGACTTCCTTTTTTCATGGAATTATTAACTTTTTAATGCATGTATAAGCTTACACTTTCTATAGAAAGACTGTATTCCATTTAATATAAAGTATGTACAATTATAAAACTAATCAATAATTGTTGACACATTTTACCTTGAAATTGATATATTTAAAGAACAAAATGTACTTTCTTTCCGAGTGTTGATTTATTTTATTATTCACAACAAAACATGGTTTAATAATTTAAAACAAGGCAATTTGAGCTCTATGACAATATGCAAGGAAAGAGGAAAAAGCACTTTCAGTATGTGTGAAATTATGTATAGACATAAAGCAATTTAACATCTTTGTTGCAATTATTTAAAGCCTGTGACCATAAATGCTGTGCGACCTACAATTGGGCACCTGGTAGAGAATGCTATCAGCCTTGATCAGTTACACTTCAACCACACTATCAAATTTTCTTTATATGCCCATATATAGCCATGATGTGCCTATATATGGTCATGATGTGATGTCAACATGACCGTATTTAGACATGTCACAAGTTTTTGTCATAAAATTTTATAGTCTGGGCAGGGCAAGACATAGAATGATGTAATTATTGTACAGCTAAGCCACTTCATTAAAGACAAGAGCTTTCACTTCAAAAAAATTTGACATTATTATAGACAATGGGCATAATACACACAGCAATTGTTAAGCCAGGCACTCCAACTCTGATTCCTGCGAATTATGATTGTTTTTTTAAATAAGGAATAGTAAATTTTTTTATGAGGCTCTAAAATTTGATAAGCAGGGATGTGGTATGCACAGATCATAGAAAATGGAGATACAGGAACTACAAAAAGAAATACAGATTATTTTATAGATATTTCTTTAACAAAAAAAAAAAAATCCAAAAATATGGATTAGTGTGTCTGTCGATGAGACTTCCTTTTAATGGATGATAAAATTAGTTGACCACTATTAGGATAACAGTCTGGTATACATTCATCATTTTTTTTTATGCCTACATAATCATTTCAATCGTGACCAATATGCCATAAATATCAAAGATTATGTTTAGCATATGCAGTATTCTGGCATTTAACAACCTTTAAAATTATCCTTTTTTTTTTTATTGAGCACTATTTACATACATGCTTTAACATCACAAAAAATTACCAAGCTAGAAACAAATGAAAACACATCGTGTGAACTGTTTTAAACCAGAAAACAACAGGTTTATCTACAGGTCCATTCGTAGGTCATCCATCAAAGTTATATTTGTAGATGAATTTTGGGTAATAGTAGGTTGTTGAAGACGGATGACAAGGGAAAATAGCTCCATAATTTTGGTCCATACTTTGAAAATGGTATATCTCCAATTGTCATATAAGTATGTGGAATATAAAGTGTTGTAACATTCCCAAAGGATCTGAAAGCAGTCCTAAGGAGTTGCAGGTAATTAAGTAAACCATGGACCTATTAATAGTAAACCTTACATCAGATCTTGACTAACTTATAACAAGCAGAACTACAGCATCTAAACAAATATTTCAAATTTAAATGATATGCAAGGAAAGGTGAAAAGAAGGTCAGATAACCTCGTTAAAAATGTTGCAAAAACCAACACTTTGTAATGAGAATTTCTCATGGAATTCATATATATTCAGACACCATGTAATTTATAGCACATACATTTATAACCTAGTTAAGTTGTGAGCTGGAAATAAACTGTACACTCTATAGCTTAGTCTGGTCTGGCATTAGCATTAAATTATTATTCTCTGAAATATTTTACGGCCTAGGATTGTGATTATATAGCAAACCACACCATGCAATTTTATAATATCGTATATAAAACTGACATTTCCTATAGAACATGTACAAAGTCCGTGTGTAATTACTGATGCAATGCCTGCCATGATTAACCAAACATCAACCGTGCATGGTACCATTAACCAAATGGACGCCATGCATGGCCACCATCAACCATAGGGTAGTAGCCACCACACATGGCACCATCAACCATAAAGTACCATTTAACAGTATTTGAAAGTTGGGGTTCCACACCTCCATGAAATATTTAGCCATTTTTTTAAACCAAAAAAAATATTATGATTTTTCCCTCTTCTCATTGGCTATAAATCATAACTTCCACACTACACAGTACACCTATACAAGTCTGCCATTGATTGGAATAAAGTAACTCTTTTTCTGAAAATCAACCAATATTTGTAGCCAAGGCCATCAAAAAAGAAAAGCAAATCATAGAAAAAAAAGATAGGTCGGAGGACAGCAAAAATGAAAAATATACTAGGCCTACATTGCTCAGTCAGCTGTTCATTATTATTCTGTACTCTTGAGAATGTTAAAACATTATTTACATTTTGTTTACATATAATCTGACGCAACTATGGTGCTTAGAGGCTCGTGGAGAACAGGCTTGTGCTCAACGTCTGCTATTTATAGTGGTTGTTACAGTAGGCCTAGAGGGAAAACTTCATATTGTGAAGAAAAATTATTGCAAAGATCAGCAATGATGTGTAATGTCCATGACTTAACACCCTTTTCACACTGTCACTATTTTGCAAATTGTAACAATTAAGTACTGAGAGCAGCTTAGCTCAGTCGGCTAAATCTGGTTGTAGCCACTGTGTGTGCTAAACTGTGTAGATTTCTTGGTCCATGGTTCAATTCCCATCGCTGCTCTCCTTGAATTTCAGCTAGAGCGCTGAAATGCAAGTTACGATAGCGCACCGTCTTCAGATGGGAAGTTTAAGCCGTTAGTCCTGTGTGCATTATGGCCCATGTGCATGTTAAAGAACGCAGTACACTTTTTGGAAAAGAGTAGGGGATTGTCTGACGGTGTACTGCCCAATCACCACTAATGGGGTCCCCCACTGGAAACAGGTCTTCAGATTTTGTGGGTTTTTCTTGGTGTTTACACCGAATGAAAGCAAATCCACATAAAACTTTATGTGGATTTATTGTTTATTTGTGGAGATATTACAGGGACCCCTTTGATTTCTTGGGAAGAAAAACATGTCCAGAATTACAGTACTCCTGAATTAATCAGTATGCTTGCATTCATGCTGCTACCAGGCAACAGAGAACAAATTTATGTTGTGCACGCTAGATACTTAAGCCTATACTGTTATTCTTCAGAGATTTTGCATGGTTCGGACTTCAAACAAATGAAATTTCTCAAGAAAAAAGTTGTTAAAACTTGTTACTAAGTGTTAGAATTTGAAACGTTTTTGTTAGCGTGAAAAGAGTATTACACAGTATTCTTCACATATCTTTAACCGCTGGGGCGTATGCAAGAGGGTGCAGACGGTGCGATTGCAACCCCCCCCCCCTCTTAATAAATTGTATTAAGAAAAATAATTGTATTTTTGAAATACTATTAGTATGAGAATGCAATTTCTGGGCCCCTTGAGGTCCATATTCTAAAAGTTTTCTCACCTCAGCCACAAACATTGTGGGCTCAGGTGGTGTGAACTCTCATATACCCCCTACTGACAAATCCTATATCCCCCAAAACTGTTTGTACAGGTGCTGCCGAATACACAAGTTGGATGCTATATTTGTTTAAAATGCAAACTATGCAACTTGTGCATTATCCCAGTCATTGCACATGGGGCAGAAAGCTAGTTTGTTACTAAGAAACTACCATACACAAAACAAGAGCAATGGGCAGAACAAATTAGGAGTTTATAAAAATATAAAAAATTAAAATGTACCTAAGATAATTAGAGAACCAAAATAAATAAATGGTGAATCCAGCGGAGAGGGAAGTCTTCCCTTCCCAAGCAACTCACAAGGCTAAATCTCCACTCACAATAACTTATTTAATACTTTTATGAGCAATTCTGTGTATAAATAGTCAAATTTTGTAGGGGTTTTCCAAATTATACTATATATTATTATTATTGTTAAAGTTGTTTAACTATATTTTTTCATGATACAAATATGTATGACATTATTATTTAACTTAAATTATTTTGGCCTTGTGAAGCACCTACTGTAATAATTAATTAAATAATCTGAAAAACTATTATTAATAAATTATATTGTAAAAAAAATGATAAAATACACTAATATTGGTCGACTTGTATAGTGCCCTATAAGATCAATACCCTATTAATATTCAACATTAAGTGGTACATCATCAAGTCGTTATCAATTTAAGCGTGTGTCAAAATTAACAGATAACTCAAACATGCATAAATGAATCATATTTCAATACCGGATTTTAATTTACTTCTACTTCGACTGTGCGATCAAGCGTGTCAACACCACGCTACAGGGACGAATAAAACGTAGCTGCTGACTATGGTACTGTCATTGGGGAGTTTTATTAGTACACTATTTCTAAAATCCTATCTTTATGGATTTCATTTGATCCGAATTACAAAGATTTCTCCATCATAATTGAGACTGAACAAGAAGTCTGTCTGGCGTCTCTTATATCGTCACATAATTAGAAATGAAGACACATTTGTAAAATGATGAAACTGTAGTTCTAAAAACCATAAGGGACTTTAGATACAATATTAAAGCAATACGAGTCTCAATACATTTTAACTGGAATAGAGCATCTCTATTGCTGTCTCTTATACACATCTAGATGTGTATAAGAGACAGTCCCATCCCTTTCACCACATTCCATCTTCCCATCTGATTCCATCTTCCCATCTGATCCCCCTTGCATTTACTTTCTCCCTATTCCCATATCCCATCCCCTTGCATTCACTTCCTCCCCATTCCCATATCCCATCCCCTTGCCTTCACTTCCCCACATTCTATCCCCTTGCATTCACTTCCCCATATCCCATCCCCTTGCATTCACTTCCTCCCCATTCCCATATCCCATCCCCTTGCATTCACTTCCCCATATCCCATCCCCTTGCATTCACTTCCTCCCCATTCCCATATCCCATCCCCTTGCATTCACTTCCTCCCCATTCCCATATCCCATCCCCTTGCATTCACTTCCTCCCCATTCCCATATCCACTCCCCTTGCATTCACTTCCCCATATCCCATCCTCTTACATTCACTTCCCCTTATCCCATCTCTTTCATCACTTCCCCTATCCTCATCTGATCGCCCTTGCATTCACTTCCTCCATCCCATCTCCATGTATCTAATCTTACCAGAGATCAGTATTGGCCTGACGGGGGAGGGGGGGTCCAACGTCAACGATGGGGGGACTGACGTCCCCGACGAAAAAAAGTGGGCCCCTGCTGGCGCCACCCCTGCCTCTTACAATAAACTCATTGCCCTTTATCCCATTTCCAGATAATTACTCCACTTACAGGATTTGTTGTGTTTGCACTGCTTTTGTCGCCATCATCAAGACCTTCCAATATCTCCAAGACAGCAAAGTTCTTTGCAAGTCTCTCAACATCATTGGAGAAGCCGGACACAATGGTATCCGTCTTACACGATGGACAACGTACATAGCCCCTTGCAACTTTTCCTATCAGTTTTTCTAAACAAGCTGTAAAAAAAAAATATTTAGGATTATTTCTGATGTATGCAGTTAGATCATTTATATTATTAGAAGAAATAAGTACCAAATACCAACATGCAGCTGAGCAGAATTATTCACAGTAAAAGTAGCACAATGTTCAAATTCTTTGCATGTGAGCTAAGTGTGAATGTACTGCTTGCTAATGTGCATCTCCACCAAGAATTGTAGACTATTAACACTGTGAACGACACCTGCATTGCACGCTCCAGTAAAAACATTTGGTGTGAACACCAAGAGTAACCCACATATGAGTTTGAAGATTTTCAAAGTGGCCCTGCTGCTGGTGACTGGGCAGTACATTGGGAGAAAATCCCCATCTCAGACAAACGGCTTAAATGTCTCATCCGAAAGACTTTCAAGCTGAAACACAAGGAAAGCAGTGGATGGAATGAACCGTGGATCTCCACGGTTCAGCGCACACACACACGGTGGCTATCTCCAGTTTAGCCGACTGAGCTATGCTGCTCTCTTCAATTTTACAGTCATGGAGAGCATGACATATGGGGATGTGTTAACATTTTGTAGCCACGGATATTTCGTAACTGCAGCCAGGCAATCAGTGCGTCGTAAGACCGTCGGCCAACGAATCCAACCCCGCTCCTTGTGAACGTTAGATGATGCGACACTGCCTGCTTATTGTTCGTAGCAGTCTGGACAGATCGTCATTAACAACCAATCCATTGCGCGTACATCATGGCGTTTTGTTCTCCATGGGTTACGTCTGTGTTTGTTATGGGTTACAGAAAGTCTGCAACCAGGACACATAGCAGTTAATACATGATCATCAGATTTAGGGTATCACCAATATGAACAAAACCCAATTTGTTAAAAAAATTAAAATAACAATATATTAAATCAATATAATTTTGATTTACCTAATTTCAGACTACTAGTGTCCTAGAGTCAAAGACACACAAGTTAATTTTAGGGTAAAAAATGGTAGCATTTGAAATGTAGTTCTGTATTAAAAAAAAAAAAATTAAACAAAAACATACTGACCTAAAAAGAAATGTGAGGTTGGAAAAGAATGACAATGTTAAAAATAAAATACAAAATACTTGTGCAAATGGACTGTACACTCGATAACTATCTTCTTAAAATGGTTCTAGAGGTATTTGATTTGGGTTAACCAACCAGAGCATGAGATGTGCTTAATGCATGAAAGTAGTTACAGGGAATTTAAGACAGGAGTAGATCGTGAAAGGCAATGGAAATTGCTGCCATGAACCCGCAAATAAGCAGACCACTCATTTGACTTTAAGACATTATGAAACCTATTGAACGCTAATTTGGATTCCACTTGATAACTACCTGTGATTGCCTTCAAGATTCAAAATAACTTTGATTGCAAATTTAAAGAAAATTTGAAATGTACAGAATAATTCAATGTAATAATATTAAAAATGTTCAAAATATTTAAAATACTCCTGTTAAATTAGTCAAAATAAAAGAGGACACATTACAACATTAAAATACAAAACATAAATGTACAAAACTTGAAAAACAAAAACAATTAAAAAGGGCATAAATAAGGGAGACATACAAAATGGTTCTAGAAATATTTGGGTTAACCAGAGTGAGAGATGCACTATCCAGGTTTTAATAGCAATGTATGAAAGTGTTGCGTGGAATTTAAGATAGGATTAGACCGTGAAAGACAGTGGGCGATGTTTGCCATGAACCCACCAATAAGCAGAACACCAAAAATATCGCGCTTCTCCAATAAATTTGCGACATAAGAAACAAACTCGAAGGTAAACGATACACGTCACTGAGATTTAAAATACTAGAATAAGGAAAAATGTGTCTATATCCAAAATGCATTTAAGTTCAACACAGACTGTAGTACAGGAGCCTGATTAATAGTAGGCCTATATGAGCGCATACAGTAAAAAATTGGCTGTCATAGGCAGAAGGCATTATAAAATAGCATGATACATTCTGCTGTACTGTAGTTTGTATTTAAAAACATATGTTATTCAATTTCAATCTTTCCTTGTCTTTCCAATTTCTTCCTTTCCATCTTTTTCTTTTTCTTTCGAGTCGTTCTTTGTCTTTTTCACCTTCATAATATATATGGCAAGTCTATACAGTATGGCCAGAAAAGGTACTCCCGGACATTTTCTATTTATCATTAAATTTTTTAATTTTCAGAAATTTAGAAGACTCCCTTGGATCCACCCCTGCTAAATTCAATTAAATGGTCGTATTTTGATCAGAAATAAAAATATTGTTACATGTAAAAGTACTGTACAATATTTCACAAATTACATTAAACATAAATGTCTGACTTCAATATTAATATTTTAAATTACATTACATGTTCCTACAACAACACAGATTTTATAAACATACAGAGATCGATATTAGTACACTATTTCTAAAATCCTATCTTTATGGATTTCATTTGATCCGAATTACAAAGATTTCTCCATCATAATTGAGACTGAACAAGAAGCTGTCTGGCGTCTCTTATATCGTCACATAATTAGAAATGAAGACACATTTGTAAAATGATGAAACTGTAGTTCTAAAAACCATAAGGGACTTTAGATACAATATTAAAGCAACACGAGTCTCAATACATTTTAACTGGAATAGAGCAGCTCTATTAGATGAATTTTTGTGTCTACTGCCCCCTCGGGGGTGGGGTTAGTGCTAAACAGAAATATTACATGTACATCCACTGAACATATCAATCAAATCTTTACCTCAGCAATTAAAAGCCATAGCATTCAAAATACAAAAAGAACATGACAAATGCACAGAAAACAGAACAAAAAAAAAAGGCGCAAAAATGAAGCATTAACGATTGCTATGACTACACCATAAATTGGTGGTTAACGTCTATACTTGCGTACTTTGCTATTAATTTACTTTTTCATGTGGTTACGCTATTGTGGTTTTAAACGGGATAACTCGAAATGCAATTTTTGCCTTGAGAATGATATTAGAAAGATCTATAGAAATGCAAAAAGATATCTATTTGGCTTTTACTGACTATGAAAAAGGATTTCATAAGGTGAAACAAGGTGATCTAGAAGCTTTGAATGTTGACGATAATGATAAAGAACAATACGGAAGTTGTATTGGGAACAGGTGGCTGTTATCTTAAATGGCAACCTTAGTAACTGGGCAAATATTAAAAGAGGTGTACCACTGGGACTTATTTTGTCTCTATGCAGAGATGACAATTAGAAGAATGAGGATAAAGGGTAATTTTAAGATAAATGGCAAATCCGTTTCTAATTTAAGATACGCTAATGATACGGTACTAATTTCAAGACAGTGAAAGTAACTTGCAAGAACTTTTAGACAGCTTATAGTTAGAAAGTGAACGAAGAGGATTGTATATTAATAGGAGAAAGACTGTAGTCAATAATAGAGACAGGTTCAAAGACATGATTGCCAACGTCAGAATCTGACAAGGTATTTGAAGAACGCTACTGTGATGGGAACACTGCACAATCTAATCCGGTGCCCCAGGGAAATATTTTAGTTGTGAAATTTCCAACATTCAGTACAAATACTTTCAAAAATTACAACTGTCATATGTAAGCATACAGATTTGTGCTCATTATGGAAAATCGATAATGCAGTAAAGTACCATTCCAGAGGACAAAATGTGACCATGTGTTGGAAATGAAACCAGACTTCTGCGAGAACGTAATTACTATGTAGAATATCAATAACGATCAATAACATGTAATACAAGCAGTTGGTGCAGTGGGAACGGTTTAGTTTTCAATCCCTTACTGTACATTTCGCTTGTATCCTTCAGCAAGGTACTTTATCTGCATTGCTTCTCACTACCCTGGAGTATAAATGTGTATCTGGTGGGGTTGCCTGATTACCAGCAGCAAAGTTTAAGCATGTGGAAACAATGACCAGGGAAAAAGAAGCATTTGTATACAAAGAAAAGGCACTACATAAATGACACAAATAATAATTTTAAAAAAAGCCAACTCCAAATATGCCAATCCAAAGTTGACACTCAAAATATTACTTTTTTAATGAGTTACAACTAATTAAAGCTGAAAATTGTTTTATATTTATATATTTACTCATTTTCAAACATGTCCACTTACTAGCATGATTGATACATAGATATTAATAAATGTTAATCTATTTATCGTTGATAATGAAAAACAAAATTAATGTTTACAATTTTACTATAATTAGTTTTAACTCACAACCACAAAAGTCAATAGGCTTTAATATCATCTGACTAATGGTATAAAGCTTACATTAGACAAATATCTGAAAAATTATGCAGTTGGTTTCAGAAAAGAAAATATTTGTTGTTATTTCATGTCACGTTTATCTTAAGCGAGACTTTTTTTATTCCTTGTTTCACGTACTTGTTTTTGAAGATTATCGACGGAGGGCGGAATAAAAATAAAATTTTTGTTTTCTTATTTAGCAAATAGTTTTGCCAAAATCATCCAGACGGAGGAGAAAACAAAAATTAAATTTCACTGGTGAATTTAAAATAGGATGGTTAAATGCTTCAAATTTATATAATTAGGAAGAAATATATCTTATCTTTGGAGATTTCAAGGCAGCGGAGGACGTAATAAAAATTAAAAATTTTTTTTTTTCCTGATATTTCCTCTTTTTCGCGGCAAAGGATTTACTAATTTGCAAAAAATACAAGTTTATTTTAATTTAAAATCATCATTATTTGCAGTCGGCAGGTTCGCTAAACAAGGTTTAAAAAGAAGTCTCGTCTTCGCATGTTGTGATTTATTCACTGTAGGTTTTGATGTGTTAAATTGAATTGTGATGCTTTTTAATGGCTAACTTTTAATTGATATATATAGAGTACTGATTTATTGTAAATTTCTATTTTTAAATTCTGTACAGCGCCTGGGAACATTTTAAATGGACATTGTTTGAGCTTAATTAAATAAAGTTATTATTATTATTATAACAATAATTATTTATTATTATTATTATTATTATTA